AGAATCATCAAAACTCAAATTCTTTCCCAACTTCTATCAACAAGTATTGTAATCTAAATTTGTAAATTGGTTCAAAAGTCACTGACCAGCTTTAACAGAAGCATCAGCTTGAGCAACGTTCCTAGCCATGCCGGCCAAAAGTGCGATTCCATGTTCAGCGGCAGCGATCGTGTTCGCCGTCGGTGCGTTAACGACCAAACACCCAAACTCCGTCGCTGCACTCAGATCCACATTATCAATCCCAACACCAGCGCGTCCAACAACCTTAAGCCGTCCACGAGACGATTCAAACACCTCACGACCAACCTTAGTCCCACTACGAACAATCAACGCATCACAGAGCGAGATTTTCGTGTTGAGCTCCTCAGGAGTCATGTTATACGAACAATCCACATTCGCGAAATCCTCCAAAAGCTTTACCCCAGCTTCACCTAGCTTCTCAGCGACGAGAATCGTAGGTTTAGATCCATCTCCAGCGGTACACGTCACGAGAATGAGACGGCGATTAGGAGTATCGCGGTGGTTGCGAGAAGGGAAAGCGACGGAGGAGATTGCGGTTGGGAGTGGCGATCTGGAGGAGATAGTCAAGCTTTTGATCGGATTTGAAGCGACGGAGATCGACGACGATGCTGCGGCGGCTGACATTGCTACTACCAGTTTTTTTTGTGGAGTAGAGCGTGAAATGTGTAAAGGCAGAGAGAAATTTGTTGTTGGAGAGATCTAAAAGGGTTAAGGGGTTTTTATAGTCAGTCCGTTTCAGGGGTTTGGTGTGATGTGTGATATTGTTGTTGGAGAAGGCGATACAATCAAACGCGCCGGATTCGCGCGTGGCACTTACTTTTTCAGGTTGAGAAATGGTTTTTTTTTTGGGAAAATTGAAAATCAAAGACGTTTTTTTTTTTGCATTTTGTCCATCTATATCTTTATTTCAAAATTCACATTTATGCCTAAATTATGCTTTTAAATTTAAAACATTATTTTTTTCAAATTTTTTTTGTGAAAAATGTGAAAAACAAAGGAATCAGACTTTCTATGAAAAAGGCAATTGTTGTTTATTAAACAATAAATTTATAAAATTTGTTTTAATTTTTTCAGAAGACACTTTCTGCATTTATACATATTCTAAAATATTCAGATTATGCGATCTAAAATATTGTACATGTTCTAAAACAATTAGAATAAATATATTCTAAACAATTTAGAAGACAGTTTCAGAAAACGTAATCTAAAACTTTGTACATGTTCTACAAAATTTAGAATTTGCGTTCTAATATTTGTTAACTAACTCTAGAATACGTCTTCTGCTAAAGTTCATTCTAAAACTTTCAGAATACGTATTCTGCAATTTTCTCTATGTTCTG